GGCGCACTGTAGCAGTGCGCCACCGGGCCGGCCCTAATTTTACCTTCTGAATGGCTCTCTATCACAAGTCAGCTCTCCATCTTTGCCACCTGTAATAATTCAGGCCCTCCTTGACCTTTTCCTAGGCCGGTGCTTTTCAAATTTGAGTGTGCATCAGAATTACCTGGAGTACTTGTTACTACTCAGATTGCTGAGCCTCACTCCCAAAATTTTTCAATCAGTAGTTCTGGAGCAAGGCTCAAGAATCCAGATTTCTAACAAGCTCTTGGGTGTAGTTGAAGCTACTGGTCCAAAGACATTACTTTGAGAACCTTGTCCTAGGTTATAATATTATCTTTCCATGCCGTTGGTTTATCTCACCTAAATACAACCTCTGTGTTGCCGGTTTTTTCCCCTGTGCTAAATCTTTCCATGACTTTCCATCATCAACCTACAGAATAATCACCAAGCTCCTTGGCTGACTTGTGGTAGAGAGCTTACCATTTAGAAGGTAAGATTAAAGGATAGGTACATAGATAGGTGGAGAGATGATAGATTGAATTGATTGCATATGGAGGGTGAGTGACTCTCTGGATCTCTACACAACCCTCCCATGCATTTCTATCTCTCCAGCTTCAACTTCATCTACTCTTCACCTTTACAAGTCCCTGGGGGTCTATTTTCCATAGTCTACTATCTCCTTGAAAGTAGGAAACAGGCCAATCTTTTTCACCGTAACATTCCAAATGCCTGGCACAGTGAGCTTCATCTCAAAGTGTCAGTCCTAACAATTAAGGTGGTGACTATATCTGGTTAAATTGAATGCATTCTATCAGATAAAATCCATCTGACGGAAGGTAGGATTTACAGAGCCAGAGCCATAGAAACCTGCAGGAGGGACAAAGGAAGCATTTTCCAAGATTGAGAATGATTGCCTGAACATAAGAAAAGGAGTTTTTAAGTCAAATGAAAATAATATTTTTGCCATCAAGGGGGCCAGAGGGGTGGAGAACTGAGAGGCCAGGGTGGCTGGCAGTGATGGCTGTATGGAGTATGGAGTGAGGGAAGGCAGTGCTGTGGCCCATTGCCTTTAAGATAGGGTAGACTGGGATTACAGTTCTGACTCTGCAACTTACTTGGTATGCATCTTGGCCAAACTGTTTAATATGTCTGTGCTTAAATGTCCTCATCTGTAAAACTCTCATAATGCTTGTCACTCCAGAGTGTTTTGCTGAGGATTGATGGTATAAGAGAGGCATCTAGCACGAAGCCCGACACACAGTAGACGCTCAGCAAGTGGTCGAGGTTATTATTCCTGAAGATCTCAGGAGACTTATCTTTGGCACAAGATTAAAACCAGTCTCAGTAGGGAATTTAAACCTGGTCAAACACTTATTCTCTCAAATTTATCCCACATGAGTCCAAGGATAATAAAAGATACCACGAGGGACTGGCCAGTTCACTCAGTTGGTTAGCGTGGGGAGTTGTAATACCAATGTCAGGGGTTCAGATCCCTGTACAGGCCAGCTGCCAAAAAAAAAAAAAAAGAAAAAGAAAGAAAGGACAAGGAATAAAAGAGACCAAGACATGACTACCTTGTAAATTTGGTTACCAAAGCCCAACATTGGTGGCACATTAAAATCAGAATTTAAAAATATGTATTCATGGTATTAAGGTATCCATTTTACTGTTTCTTGTCTTTGTAATTGTGTGTGTGTGCATTACATTTTAGAAAGGGGTTTGTAATATTAGACCATAGTAGAAACTGAAAGAATTGTAAACAACTATGTTGCCCGTATGATGTCTTCTCATGTGGTAATCCCTTGTTTATTTTCCCATCATGATTATCCTTAAAACTCTTAAATTAAAAAGAAAAAAAAAATTTTTTTTTAACTTTGAAGAAGTGAGTAGCTGAGGAGGTAGCATCCCTAATTCTGCAGCCAGCGTTGGGAGAGAGAATCCTAGTGGGAAAAAAGTATTTATTATTTTACAAATGAAAGGGAAACAGGTTTAGTCCATGGGCTCATGGGAAGCAAAGATGTCGTAGAACCTGGTTTGGACCTAAGAAGGGGCGCTAGAGCTTATCAATAGAAAGGTCCATAAGAGTTCTTGAATGTATAATCACCTGCGAAACAAGATACTCCTTGAGCAGGAGATCTAAAAGGAAATGTGATTATTGGGAAGTAAAGCAAATTATTATCATGAGGACAGCCCACTTGAGAAGCATGATTAGGATCCAAAATACATGCAGGTCTGTCAGCCCGGAAACTTTGGATATCCTAAGACACAACCGGGAAACTGGGCAAGGTTGGTTCCTCCAAACCAGGCTGCAATGAGGACTATCTGAAGAGGAAGCAGATGTGGCCAGCGGGAAGTATGGAATCAGGTGCTGTTGGATCCCACCGTTAGAGTTAAAACATGATTCTGAGACCTTCAGGACAGGAAGGGCTCTATGCCTCCATGATGATTTTTCCTTTGTTTATTCATAAAAAAATTCATTTGAAAAAGCCTGGCTTCTTTTGGCTGGGCCACAGAATAAAGGGATTTTTCTATAAGTTATCAGGAAAACAAAAAGAAGTGAAGGCAAGGCAGGGGTGGAAGGGACATTATGCAGACGTTGTAGGGTCAGCTGTGCCCAGCCCCTGTGTCATCAAACTTGAATTTCCAGGATATTATGCTATTCACTTTGCTCTTCTGAACACACATCAGAAAGCCAAGGCTTTTCTACAGCAGCAGTTCCCAAACTGTGGAACCAAAATCTCTTAAAATGATTCATAAAATAAATGTTCTACAGTCACATAAGTTTGGGAAAAGTTGCATGCTCTATCTCGCTTTAAGGGATACATATTAAAGTTTCTGAGAAGTTCTGCTGCAAAGAAGCCCATTTAATTTTAGTTATTTTCCCAGACTGTATTTCACTTATTCTTTCTTTCAGCAATTATTGAGAACCTTCTCAGTGTCAAGCTTTGTGCTAGGCCTGTGACACAAAGTGGTGACCCACAATGGCTTCCTGTCATACATGGATGGCCTCTGAGGCCCTGCCTACCCTTCAGACCTCCTCTGTCCCTCATTCACTGCATTGTAACCTCGCTGGCCCCCTCATGGTTCCTGGAACATTCCAGCACACTCTTGCCTCTGGTCCTATTCCCAATCTTGAGAATGGTATTTCCCCCCAAATTCACATAGCTTACGCCCTTACTTAAATCAGGCTGCAGCTCAAGACAAGCTTTACCTAACCGTACTTTTAAATTAGCATCAACCATCTCATTCAAATCTCTTACTCCAATGTCTTCCTGCTACAAATATTTGTTTGTGTGTTGTCTTTCTACCCCACTAGAATGTTAATTCCCAACACCTAGAGCTGTGTCTGGAGTATAGAAGGTGCTGACTATTTATAAATTGAACCAAAGCACAAATGAATGAATGAACAGTGAAAAATAATTACAGGTAGTGCTTCACAGAACTTACGATTTTTCAGAGAATATAAAAAATAAATTGGAAATTTAATACTGGAATAAAAGTTATGTGGGGAAAGAACAAAATGCAGAGGAAGAATGTAGACTACACTTCACCCAGTGATATGGAATGCGTGCTCGAGGAAATAATGTCTAAACAAAGGCTTGTGAAATGCCAGAGTTGAGAGAAAACATGGTCCGCTTGTGCAATAGAAATTCAGTCTGACTGGCAGAGAGCAAGGCAGCATAAAGGTGAGACGAGAAGCCGCAGAGGTAGGCAAGTCCTTGTCAACATATTAAAGAGTTTGGGTTTCACCCTTACAGCCACATTAAGGGTTTCAAGCAAGGAATATCTGCATTTTAGAAACTTCGTCTAGGCACAGTATGGATAATAGATTGGAAGAAACAAGACTGACGGCAGGGAAACCAGCTCTGGAGATTCTTGCGACAACGAAATTGAGCTATGATGGTAGCTTATACAAGGGTAGACAGAGATGACTGAGTTCAGGAGACAGTTGGAAGGTAACAATTTATAGGATTTGATGATTTATTGGATGTAAAGGGTAAAGCAGATTGAATAATGATACCATTCACCACTCTTTTTTTTTTTTTTTTTTTTTTTTTTTTCTTAC